TTTCTTTCTTTCTTTCTTTCTTTCTTTCTTTCTTTCTTTCTTTCTTTCTTTCTTTCTTTCTTTCCTTTGAATTTTTTTTTGCTTCTCAACCCAGAAGCAGAATTAAAGAAGGGAGGGGAAAGAAGAAGGAGAGGGAGAGAGAGGGGAAGGAGAAGCAGAGGGAAGGGAGGGGAAGGAGAGGAAGGAGAAGGAGAAAGAGAGGGAGGGGAAAAAGAAGAGGAAGGAGAGGGAGGGGAAGGGGAGTCCAGTTTCCTTGTGGAAAAAGCATCTTTGGGAGAATGATCAGGACTGGAGGCTAAATTAAAGCCAGACAAGGGACAGGAAGTTGGATGGCCTTCGGCTGACTCAATCTCATCCTGCGCATAGACACCCAAGGATGTTATGATGTGGTTTTGTTGCAGGTTTATCCCCGAGCCTTGGTCCCCTTGCAGTGCCTCTTGTGGTCACGGTTCTCAGATGCGCGATGTCAAGTGCCGCATTTATCTTGCGTTTACTCAGGCTGAGGTGGAGCTGCCTGATGAGGAGTGTGAAGGACCCAAACCACTGACCGAGCGGAGTTGCCACCTGGAAGCGTGCGATGTGGATCCGGTCCCGTACCCCTTACCTTTTGCACCCTCCGAAGAGGCTGGTAATGTTTTTTATGACTGGGAATACATCGGCTTCACTCCCTGCTCAGCTACGTGCCTTGGAGGTATTACAGGTTTACATTTTGTGCTCAGAACGACCCTTATAATAGTAATAATGCAGATTTCAGGCGCAGCTGCAAGAGATTGGATGGTTGATTTTTTTTTTTAATATAATTTTTAGAAATTTTTTAAAATATACCTAAGTATTGAATATATGAGTGGGACATGGTGGCTCAGTGGCTAAGACACTGAGCTTGTCGATCAGAAAGGTCAGCAGGTCGGCGGTTCTAATCCCTAGCACCGCGTAATGGAGTGAGCTCCCGTTCCTTGTCCCAGCTTCTGCCAACCTAGCAGTTCGAAAGCACATAAAAAATGCAAATAGAAAAATAGGGACAACTTTGGTGGGAAGGTAACAGCGTTCTGTGCGCCTTTGGTGTTTAATCATGCTGGCCACATGATCACGGAGATGTCTTTGGATAGCGCTGGCTCTTCTTTGGCTTTGTAATGGAGATGAGCACTGCCCCCTAGAGCCAGAAATGACTAGCACGTATGTGCGAGGGGAAACTTTACCTTTTATTGAACACATGTGTGGCATCTGGGTATTGTTAGTTTTGATACCAAATAATGGTGATAATATTGATAGTATTAGATACGTTAATCATACTCATATCACTATCATTGTATTATATATATTAACATTTAAGTTATTAACATGTTGATATTTGCTCCACTATGGATGGCCGAAATTTGAGTGGGTTGGTACTCCTCAACTTAACATTTATTTATTCATTGATTTTAATATTTGAAGAAATATTATTTGAAGAATATTTCTTTATTGTTCATAGTTTTATTAATTTATAATATGACATGCAAAAAAGAACACAAAAGCAACTATTAGGGAAATTAGGAAAGGAAAAAGGGAAGTGGGGGAAAACAAGGGAAAAAGAAAAAAAGGAAAAACAGGCATTGACTTCCGATTCCTTTGGTGCAGTAAAATAAGGCATTAAGATCTATCTTCAACTTTTTACTTTTTCATAATAATAGAAACCAGCTATTTCTGTAACAACAACTCTATCTAATCGGTAAAACCTAAAATCAAAGTTTCATTTTTTTTCCACCTCAAGCACAAAGGCCAGAAGTGGTTTCCAAGTAGAAAGGAAAGTATTTGTATTTTTTTTTTCTTTGATCAAAGCAGTCAATTTAGCCATCTCTGAGGCACTTCTCGAGTTATGACCACAATGGAGCCCACAATTTCTGTTGCTCAGTGAAACATTCGTTAAGGGAGTTTCCCCGTTTTATGGCCTTTCTTGCCACAGTTATTAAGTGAATCACTGTGGTTGTTAAATGAATCAAATCGTTGTTCAGTGAATCTGGCTTCCCCATTGGCTTTGCTTGTTAGAAGGTTGCAAAAAGGGGATCACGTAACTCCAGGACATTGTAACCGTCGTTAATATGAATACATTGCCAAGCATCTGAATTTTGATCACATGACCGTGGGGGAAGCTGCAACGGTCGTATGAAAAATGGTCCTAAGTCACATTTTTCAGTGCTGTTCAACTTTGAACGGTCACTAAATGAACAGTCGTAAGTTGAGGGCTACCTGTGGTTGATCACTCTCAACTGATGGTTCAATGAAGAGCAAAGGAGTGCCTGCCAAATGATTTTTCCCCAGATCACACCTTGGTTTTTTTCCTTTGTGTGCGATGGATACTATCCAGTTATGATGTAATGTAATTTTGAATGATTGGAGACAGATGGAACTGCTTGAGATGGTCTTATAAAAGTCACTTATCTATATATATAAAAGCCAAGTACCACTCACTCATCATGATATCTCCAGATATCTCCTGTAAAGCCTACAAGCTTGAAATTTGGCACGTATCTTGGCTTCTAGGTGCTCTCTAGGAAAGAATTTTTCGAAATGACCATCAGATCATTCGCATTTCTTAATACAGTAACACGCTCTGACGCTAAGGAGTCCTACTCCCCCTCCCCAACTGAAAAGAACTCTGTTCCAACCGCCAGTTGCCTCACATTCCGTTACCTCAGTTCAAACTGGCAGACGTTCCACTCCTTCACTCAGGAGCGGCCTGGGGCTCCTTGCAGTACTAAACATTAGTACCTCACCAAAATGTCTACGCCTTCCGCTGATGGAATTGCTTACGGACTCAAGGCGGAGGTAGCAATATTCCCGTATGTGTTTCAATCACTGGCCACCACTGAGCAAACAGATTGTGAACCAAATTTCTCCTGCATAGCCTGATCACATAGTTTTGTCATGAAGCACGGGTATAGTAGTTCTTATATAGTAATTAACACCAGAGGTGATATTCAGCAGGTTCTGACCAGTTCTGGAGAACCGGTAGCGGAAATTTTGAGTAGTTCAAAGAACTGGCAAATACCACCTCTGACTGGCCCCGCCCCCATCTATTCTCTTGTTCCTGAGTCCCAGCTGATTGGCTGGGTCTTCTTTGGTTGCCCTGCCCACCAAGCCATGCCCACAGAACCGGTAGTAAAAAATCCCACCACTGATTAACACGCTCTGATGCTAAGGAGTTCTACTACTACTGCCCATCTGAAAGGGACTTTGTTCCAACTGCCAGTTGCCTCACATTCTGTTACCTCAGTTCAAACCAGCAGACGTTCCACTCCTTCAGTCAGGAGTGGCCTGGGGCTCCTTATAGTACTAAACGTTGGTACCTCACCAAAATGTCTACGCCTTCTGCCGATGGAATTGCTTACGGGCTCAAGGTGGCAGTACTGATATTCCCTTATGTATTTCAATCACTGACCACCACTGAGCCAGTGGATTGTGAACTGAATTTCCCCTGCATAGCCCGATCACAAAGTTTCATGGCGAAGCACAGGTATCCAGTTAGCCACTCATATCCAGGAATAAAAATCCTTACTTGGTTTGTAACTAATTAGTGGAAGTCATCAACTGTTACCTTCTAGAGGAGAGGTTTTCCAAGTCCTGCAATTTCCATAGAGTCAGCTAAAAATAAAAACCAGCCTCTTTAGGGATGATGGAGTGTTGAGAAAACCCTTCCTAATATATTAGGAGAAGAGATATTTATGGCAATAATTGTCTAGCCGTTCTGCAGGTGAAAACAAACAGCTTGGAGTGAAATTGGAGGTTTTCAAGCGCAGGCAATAACGAGGCTCTTCATTTTTATTGGGAAACACAGCGAAAGGACAAAGGGGCTTGAAATCTTGCAAATCTTTTAACAAATAGAGAAATATTAAGCTGCCTCAAGAGCAGATTTGTAGCCTCTGTAAAATCACGAGGGGGAAATGCATTTGAAAGGAAGGAAGCAGGTTCCTTGAACTGTGACCGTTTTCAATCTTGCATATCGCATTATGTGCGTTTCTCCAGCACCAGCTAATACCAATGAAAGCTCATTCACGGAGCGATATCGCTGTATTTCATTTAGTTCGGATGGTGGGGGTCTGCTTCTTTGTTTTACGGTCTTGTATATGCATGAGTCTCCCGAGGCATCTTTGCACCCCATAAAATGGACGCTGCCCAACATTTGCTAGATGGATTTGCAATACAAAGAGATGAAGTGTGACGGTGTTCTGCACTTGGGGATTTGAGCATTGCAATTTAGGGAGGTGCCCCTCTTTTCAGCAGCTGATCCATCACTTAAAACACCCTTCTTCTGGGGCGAGTAAAGCAGAAAACGAGGGTGTTCAATAGTAAGACCATAAGAGCTGGCTTCTCAGGCCTGCTGCCACTTAAACCTCTAAGTAGAAATGATCCTTGGCTCCGTTTGTTGAGAAAGGTATAGCTTTATTAGAAATCAAGGGTATTCAATCAGAATAGAGCTGGAAGGGACCTTGGAGGTCTTCTAGTCCAGGGGTTGCCAACCTTTTGGACCTCAGGGACCACCAAACTCATAATTTTAAATCCCACAGATCAGAGACCCTGGGAAAATTCCCCAAAAAGTCTGCAGGAAAATTCCCTACCCTGTTTTCATTCTTTATTTGGGATCACAGGATATCGTCTCCAGCTCCATTCTCAGGAAAGAGAGACTTTTGGCTTTATGCAAGGAAAGCAGCAGAAGTAGCAGAAGTCTTTCTTTCTCTCCCCCAAACTCTGCCAGAAATGAGTCTTTGTGAGACTTGTCACGCCGGCGTAGCCTCTCGGTGCAGGAGGCCTTGCAGGGTCCCAAAGACTCATTTCTGGTGGAGTTTAGGGGAGAGAAAGAAAGACTTTTGCTGCTTTCCTTGCGTACAGCCAAAAGCAGAAGAAGAAAGAAGCGGAAAGGAGCATCCCGGTGGCCAGACGAGGCAGGTGGGGTGAGTGGGGCAAGTTCCTCCCTCTGCCCTTTCCCCCCCTCCCCTCATACCTCTTGTTGTTCACAATGCAAATGACACAAGCATTGTGTTCCCATGGGCCAAGTAGGCAGCACAGCCTTGTATTCCTGGATTAATTGCTTTGGGGGATGCTTTGGGGGTGACATTTCTCTGTGGAACACCAGTGGTCCCCAGCTCACTGGTTGGTGACCATGTTCTAGTCCAATCCCGTGCTCACAGAGGAAACCTTATACTATTTGAGACAGGAGACAGTAAACACAACTTCAGACAGCATTCTACTAATTAATTGTCCTCATTGTTTGGAAGTTTCTCCTTAATTCCAGGTTGCTTCTCTCCTTGATTAGTTTCCATCCGTTGTTTCTTGTCCTGCCCTTGGAAAATAAGTTGACCCCCCCCCCTTTGTGGCAGCCCCTCAAATACTGGAATACTGCTATCATGTCCCCTAGTTATTTTTTCCCCTCTAGATTAGTTAAACCTAAATCCTGCAGCCGTTCTTCATATGTTTTAGTCTCCAAGCCTTTAATCATCTTAGTTGCTCTGTTTTTGCATTTTTTCCAAAGTCTCAACATCTTTTTTGTAATGTGGTGACCAAAACTGGATGCAGTAAAAGTGACTGTGTATTACTGCAGACTCTTATCTTTCTTTCTTTTTTTTAAAAAAAATATCTAGCTATCAAAAATTTAAGAAGGTTCAGAAAAATTCGTGAATAGGTTCAGAGAAGGATGAAAAGAATGAACGAGGATTGGCCAGTAGGTCCAATAAGGATAAATTGAGGGGAATGGGCTTGGGAAGTGATGAAACTCTTCAAAGGACTAGGAAGGTGTCTTGCAGAATGCAACCAAGTCCTGCTCTTCATTGCTCCAGATTTCAGTTCTTGGAATAATCTTACATTGCAGCAGGCAAAATCTGGCTGTTTTTGGAGTCTAAATTAAGAGTAGATGAACAATAGAACTGTGGATCAAATAACCAGGCAATTGGAGCAGGTAACATGGAAGTATAAACCTTCACCTAAATTATGGCTGAAGAATGTATATATTGAAATATTTTTCTGTACTCCTCTGTTGTAAAAGATCTGAGCTTGTTGATTTGTTTTACAAACCTAGGGACTCAGGAAGCCATTGCTGTCTGCTTGCATGAAGAGACAAAACAAACTGTAAATGATAGCCTGTGTGACAGCTCGAAGAGACCTCCACCAATGAGCCATGTGTGCAATACAAGGCTTTGTCCCCCAAGGTAGGACGTGGTCAATGCCTTTGTAAAGGGATGATGAAAGTTTATTAGTGGAAGATATCCTGTGTGGTGCATAGCGTTTGGCTAAAATAAGAGTCCTCCACTGTTTTTATTCTTCTGTTTTGCTCTTTGTTGGATGGGGGTGGGATCATTTCACAAAACATTCCTCTTGCTGTTGATGGTGTGGCTTGCTTAGGGCTCTGATGTCATCATATCTTGGAACAGATGGCAAGTAGGACCTTGGAGACAATGTACTGCCACTTGTGGCGTTGGCATCCAGACAAGGGAGGTGCACTGTCAGCAACCTGGAGGGTCTGTTGATGGACTTGAAAGCTGCAAAGAACCAAAGCCTCATTCTTTACAAGCATGCAACCAGCTTGACTGCCCCCCACTTTGGCATGTTGAAGAATGGCAACAGGTAAGATGGTCTGCCAAGTACAAAGATTGGAAGATACCTCCAGTTGAGTTAGATTAATGAGAAGCCATTGATCATGCAATGTTCTGGATTGTCCCTTCTGCCAATATGTTGGACTGAAAGTCTTAACTATTGAGTCTGGTTCATATGAATATACAATCACTAGTAAGGTTGCATCACATGAGCAATGATACATTTGTCAACGTAAGGTGAAGAAATGGGATTGCATAGATGAAGGGTTTTCTCTGTGTGTAAGAGGTTAGGCCTGAATCCTTCTCTCTGCCGTAGCATTGCTGTAAATGGCTCTCTAGAGCTGATCACAGCTCCTGGTGGCTTCATGGCCACTTCTAAATAGCTTTCCTGGCAGAAAACTTTCCTGGTTTTTTCCCCCAATTTCCCAATTTAAGTTTTATTAGCCCAGAAATTTTCTAATAATCTCCCATGCAAGTACTAACCAGCAAAGATGGATAATACCTGGTGAGAAGCAATCCGTATCGTATTTTATCCCATGAGTGGGAATTAATAAAGAAGAGGAGGTCACTCTGTCCTAAGTTATAAGATGAGAAATAATCAATCGATTTGTTAAGATAAGAATTTATGAGACTGTAGTTGGCTGGGAATTGTCAGAGCAGAAGATTCTCCTTGGTTTTTCTGGGTAAATATGCCCTTGAGTCAAGCTTGGCTCATGTTGACTTTGTGGATTGTCCATGGAGTTTTAGAGTCAGAATTACCGGTATGAAAGTGGTTTCCCACTGCATTTCCCAGGATGCTGGACTTCATAATTTAGCCTGCAGCTTAGGAGTTCATCCTGGTCTCCGTTCCAAGTAGTAACCAGGTCAGATCCTGCTTGGCCTCTGAGTCCACACAATATTAGAATAGAATAGAATAACAGAATTGGAAGGGACCTTGGAGGTCTTCTAGTCCAACCCCCTGCTTAGGCAGGAAACCCTACACCACTTCAGACAAATGGTTGCCCAATCTCTTCTTAAAAACTTCCAGTGTTGGAGCATTCACAACTTCTGGACGCAAGTTGTTCCACTGATTAATTGTTCTAACTGTCAGGAAATTTCTCCTTAGTTCTAGGTTGCTTCTCTCCTTGATTAGTTTCCACCCATTGCTTCTTGTCCTGCCCTCAGGAGCTTTGGAGAATAACTTGACTGCCCCTTCTTTGGGGCAGCCCCTGAGATATTGGAAGACAGCTATCATGTCTCCCCTAGTCCTTCTCTTCATCAGACTAGACATACCCAGTTCTAGCAATCATGCTCTATATGTTTTATCCTCGAGTCTAGTCCTCTAATCATCTTTGTTGCTCTTCTCTGCAGTCTTTCTAGAGTCTCAACATCTTTTTTACATCGTGGTGACCAAAACATATTATGTTGTGTTGTGTTGCGTTGTGTTGTGTTGTATTGTGTTGTGTTGTATTGTATTGTATTGTATTGTATTGTATTGTATTATTATATTATATTATATTATATTATATTATATT